CGTATCTTCCTTGATCAATACGACCGGCATCTCTGATAATCAAAAATCCATCAGGATTTATGTAAAACTTGTTACTTTCACTGATTTGTATACCATCTTTGCTCCATGTAATGGTGGGTAGAGGATATCCATTGGCGTTACATGGTATCTGAACATCAGATCCACTCACAACATCAAGGTCAGTGGGGGTTATTAAGAACACTGGTGGCACTGAAATGAGAAAATTATGTTTAGAAATTACTGCCAAGAGAACTAACTAACTGTACAATTATTTTACTGCAGAATGGTTTATTAGTATACATCTACATGTTTGGAAAAAACAATAGAATTTTCCGTTCGATCAAAACATCTCTACGCTTGTTCAAATGTGTAAATTTCTCCATATTAAATATGTCATCAACATTCGTGAATTTTGATGGCGCTTTTGAACACTTTTGTTTTTAGCCAATGCAGAAGCACTACTACTTATCTGTCACAAGCACAAAATGTTTTTTAGTTTCCAGCTGTTATCTCTTTATTAAATTATTTGTATTCAGCAGGTAAAAGATATACAAGGTTATCACAAGTATGCTGAGAACAAGAACAAAATTATCTCTACAACACACCAATCAATACAAACAGCGTAATGCATTTGTGTATACTTTACTGTATTCTCATGGTAACTTCATACTATTTGTAACATATTAATGCGATATTTACCTCTTTTAGATACTTCTAAGTTTGCAGTACTTTGTCTGTGACCAGCTGTATTAATAGCTTGACATTCATAAGAACCTTCATCATCTTTTGTGACCCTGGCAATTCTCAGTGTGCCATCCGGTAGTAAAGTGTGACGTCGATCTTCAGGAAGAGGATTACCTACAAGGTATAATAACACAAGTCACCATATGCACGCAATCTGACCCTTGACCTAGATTTGGCTGGACCTATTTTGAGGTGATGCACTGCTACAAAATGTATTTCAATAGAAGTATGACATGGTTGTCTAGGTTTCTTTTCCTGACTGTGTTGAATTTACGATTTGTATAATTATTGTTATTTCCCCCAAAGAGAAGACAAGCCGAAGGACCATGAAGCTAAAAAGAAGTCCCAGCATGGACTGAGTGAAAGAAAATATTTCTTAGGCTAAAATAAAACCTAATATCTCTTTGTGTATTTTTCAATTTTGCATATATTTGGTATGACAGTTCGCTCGTAAATATCTGGAAAAATCTCGTCTTTCATTAATAATCTCATGTCTACCGATCGTGTCCCAATAATTTGTTTGGAATATCGATCCCCGTTGGTTTCTCCAAACGGTCCCGACGTCCGTCATTCAACACAATCAGCATTTATTTATCGTAATTCATGGTGATCATGTCCCGTAATTTGCGGGCTGTAAAACCAAATAATTAAACAAGTACTATTTATTATATATTTTTTTTTAACTCGCGAAACTACAACACAGCGTAGAGTTGTCGCGGTGAAACAGTCGCCTTGAAATCCATGGAACTTCAATTATCCATTTCTCACCTTGAAATAAAGTTAAAAAAATTCGAAGAGCATCGGGGGATATATTATTAACCAGTCTTACCAATCACTAGCTTTATTTTATTCAAATCCATAAAATTCACGAGTTTTTCGACATTTGTTGGCAACTTCCGCGCTAAAGATGGTTGAAAATGTGGGTGTGGTTCTCTCGCAAAATCCCGTTGATAATACGGACAAATATGGTTTTGTGACCCAGGTCGTGCTCCGATCAGGTGACTCTCAGCAAATCAATGATGTTGTAACGAAACATATTTGACGCTAATTTAAGGGTCGGCGTACCATCCAATCTCC